TAAATTTACACATTATCCAACGAAATAAGATTCCTATTAACTCCAAAAATATATTTCATTATAATAAAACAAACCCATGATGAAACAATACCTTAAAGACTCTACAAGTTCATTGTCTATTCATGCATAGAAAATGAGCTGTGACAAATAGACCCTCATTAGTCAGCTGTGAAAATCCACTGAATCAATGACCTGGTTCTCAGGAAGATACCTGTGACTGGGGGGGGGGGGGGGGGGGGGGGGGGGGGGGGGGGGATTGGACAGAGTGGCCGTGGCCAAAGGAGCTTCAGCTATCTTGCAAGTTTATTACACACATCACTAAATATTACTTCTTCAGGATCAGAAGAGTCCTTGAAGCGGATCTCGTCTGAGTTTTCATTTGTACAGATGAGAAAGCTGAGTCCTAGCTCATCTATCCCCATCCGGGTCTCCCTTGCCGTTGCTGAGCATGGGGTGAGGGTGGGTGGGGGTGGTCAGTGTGCCCCTGCCACCATCCATCACAACACAAAACTGCTGAGAACAGGGAGGGTGACAAGGTCAGAAACGGAGGGGCTGGTCTTGAATCACCAGTAAAGGCCTGGTGTGTGTTTCTTCCAAACGATGAAAAGGCTTTGGCTGTCTTATGAACCATTGCTAAAGGCACTACTCAACTCCAAAGAGTGGTATCTTAAAAAAAAAAAAATGTTGCCTCCATGGAAATTCATGTCAATTTAATGCTTGCAATTACATACAATGTTCTCATACCATCAGAGCTACTTAAAAGTGCCTCCTGAAATTGGCCTTTCACAAGGGAAACAGTGAAGGCAATTAGGAGCTAATGAGAACCATGTCAATCCCGAGGCTGATAGAGATCAGGAAAGGCAACACCCGGAAAAGCTGACGCTACCTCTGGGTTTGGCACGGAGTAGATGGGGAAGCCGCCAGGAGCTGTCAGGGACCTGTCCCTTCAAAGACTTTTCACAGGACCTCAGAGCTTGAAAGCACTCAGGCCCTGAAGAAAAACCTGACTGTGGCCACCCAAGGATGCTGTTTCTGAAGGGTTACCACCTCCCCCACAAACTCCATGGGTTGGTTGTGCCCAGGTAGACTCTCTGAGCTCTGGGGCCCGGGGCCACTGGTTTGGTCTTTCCTCCTGATCTCTCTGCCTTTTCCCAATGGAGTCCCTGACCCGATCCACCATTCATTCTCCAGGCCATGGTGGCCCCTGGACCCTGTCAAATGGCCACTCATCATGCCTGGCGATTGACGTCGCTGGCCTTTTCTGGAGTGGTCCTGCCAAAGCAGTGCGAAGATTGCAGCGAGTGTCGCTCCAAGAATGCCGGGAATGCATCTGACAGGGCAGCTGGAGACTCTTCCTAACGTCCACTGCTATTTTTAAGATACCTCCAGCCCTGGCGAAGCCGGGTGGGAGCCCAAGACCCTGGTTTTACTGGACCACATTTATCTCCGGAGGTCACTGAAAGTTAAGACTAGAAAGGGTCATCAAGTTCCCAACACTACTTGCCAGAAAAGCAGGGCAATCTCTTAATTTCCCACCACCGGAGCCGTTCCACACACTCACAGGGAGACTGGTTGTGGGACTCCGGCCTGTGGGCCGCTTTCCCGCTTTCCCACGGGATCTACCGCTGCCCTTCTCCATTCTTCATCTCTGCCTTCGTCTCTGAGTTTCTTATAGCCACTGGCCCTTCTGGGTTTAGAAACACATCAGGAGTATAGTGAACCCTCGCCACTTCGCGCTTCGACTTCCGCGGCTTCACTCTATCGCGGTTTTTGCGTAACAGCGCCCACTGCCTACACCCGCTCCTTCAGAGGAAAAAGACGGCGACCCACCTGTAGAGTACATCCCTTAAGTCATTTCATAGGCTATTGATTACAGTATTTGTAAGAACTATGTATAATAATACTGTATGTGAAATATGTAATACTGTAAACTAGATGCCATAAAAATATAATAAATAATAAATGATAATTGTAACGTCCAAAATGTTTTACTGTATTTTCCCTTTTTCATTTAATAAATTGGGTAATATGAGTGTAATGGTGACTAAAGGGTGTTTTTTCATGTCCTCTATGCTCTAACTACGAAAATATTTGATTTACAAATAAGGAATCCTACTTCGCAGAATTTCATTTATCACAGTAGGGTCTAGAACCGATTAACCGCGATAAACGAGGGTTCACTGTATTTACCCAGAGGCGTGGCCTCATGTACCTAAATGTCCAGAGGGTTTAGTGACCCAGCATGGAGCGATACTGTAAGGAGGACCCCCCCTGAGGGAGAGGTTAACCTGTTGAATGCACCTATGCCATGTGTCCACAGCTAGACAATATGCCAACCTTATTCTCCAGACAGCTGCCTAGGGATAGAGCTGGGTTGCTCCTTATTTAAAATGTAGCCCTCACTACTCCCTACTCTGCACACTGGAAGCAGAGAGACCACACCAAAGCACATGCTTGATCAGGTCCCTGGTCTCGTAAGCCAGCTCCGTGGTCTTGCCAAACCCACCTCCATCTGCCCACCATGCTCCTCCTCATCATCTGGCTTCTGGTTTTTCTTCCCATGTCCTTCCATCACTTGCCCCTCTCACTCCAGCCCCAGGGAGTCAGACTCTCTTCTTGGAGAGGCGAGCACACAGTAACCCCTGTACCTGGAGCACACGCTCCTCTCTGGAGTGACCGTCTCGGAAACTCCCAGGGACAGTTCGCCCTGTCCCACAGGGTCACTGTGCGCCGGCATCGGCTGTGTGGCAGTGAGGTGTTTTGTTTTGTTGGTTACATAAGAAGCGGCAGACGTAGAGCAGGCTTCACAAATATTGACCAAACGAACCTCTAGTCATCGCTGGCGTTAAAAATTAGGACAAACGGTGGGTTTGGCAAGTCATCTCAGTTTGATCTTGATATGATCCTATTCTCTTCCGATACATTTTCTTGGCAAAATGGAATTAAAGTGCAGTGTTTGAGTACCTATCTGGGACAGGGCTTTAAAAGTTGGGCTTTGGGGGGAATTGTTTGCTACTGAAGAATTATCCTATATGGGATGCAATGGACAACCGGCAACAGCATGGAAAGGCTGGCTAGGAATCTCAGGGGCCAGTGAGTTTGGGGTGGAACAACCTGGAAAAGGAGGGTGAGAAGGATGCACCTAAAAGCATGTCGTCAGGGTCATGGAATTGTGCCTGCAGACACTGTTGGCCTGGTGTTTGTTCTGCTGTGAATATGTCCAAGGAAAATAGCAAAAATGAACTATTTCTCCAGGGGTCTGAGATAAGCCATGAGATTGCTTCATTGCATGTAAACACTGGAGAGAAAACTACCAGGGTTTTATAGTTGCCTGGGTGGCAATGAGTCGGCATCAACTTAATGGAAGGGAGCGAGAAAACCAATTCCTTTGTTTTTAGACACAAGAAACTTACTCTGAGCTCTGGGTGCTAATAATACCTGGCACCCTGGACATTTCATTGTTTCTGCTGTGTAGGAACCATTCACCTTAATTGCTCACTGGAGATTTGCCTCCTATTCCAAGGTCAAGTGTTTCAGATGGAGAAGGGTTTCACCTCTAGCTCCCCTTTCCAAAGGATTCAGCCTTGGCCACTGTGAGCGTCACATTCTGATGGCGACAATGATGGATTCAAAGTAGATGTGTACTGATCCTGGCTAATAGGAGACCAAGAAGCCTTTGCTGGGACTCTTTGGGAGAGGGACCTTGGGTTTTTTGTTTTGTTTTTTCCTGCTGTGCCTGTCACTTTTACAAGTGTTATGACACTTTAAAACTACAGCCAACAACGGGAGTAGAGTTGAGAGTTTGGACACTGAATCAAAGTTTGCTTAATATTAGACCTAATCTCAGCTTTCATTTATGTGGGCCACTACATTACTTTTTTGGTTAAGTCCATGTAAGCAACTGATATTTCTGGAAAGACAATTCAAGGTCTGTTATTGAACCACAGGGGCAAGGTCAGAGATGCTTAGTGCTGTATCATAGATATGCACATCTAGACCACACACACACGCACACACACACACACACACACACACACACCCCACCCCAAACTCACTGCCATCAAGTAGAGTCCTATTCATAGCAATCCTTGGGTTTCCAAGGCTGTGACGCTGTAGGGGAGCAGAAAGCCTCATCTTTCTCCTGAAGAGGAGCTGGTAGTTTCAAACTGCTGTCCTTGTCGTTAGCAGCCCAGCAAAGAACCACTCTGCTACCAATGGTTGCTGCTTCCCTAGCTGACAAGTCATGCTCCTGTTTCTCTGTCCCCCACACAGAGGTGGAGTCCTGAGTTCCTGGAGAGATATGTGCTTCAGTTCAGGAAAGCACTTCCGTTTTCGAAGGATCTATTGTTGTTACCTTCTATTTTGGTGTTCAATGTACAATGACCTAGTATCCGTAGCCCTTACCATGAAAAAGTAATTTTCTAATTCTGAAAATTCCATTTTCTCTTGACCTGTTTGTTTCACGCAAACCCATCGACTGACTTTGTGGAATTTGCTTGGGGCAGACTTAGAAGGCACTGCCAACTGCCAGGAGCTGATAGCACCCTCTGCAGACCCACATCCAGCACCTTGGAGAGCCATACAGAGGAGGGGCCCTGGGCACTACGTCATCTACTAGCACATCTGACCACAAGGCCCCTTAATTCCCAGTGGTCTCCCCCTCTCTCTGAGAATCCACAGTACACATGGCCCAGGCGACACATAAACACCGAATGACCTTTGCTTTCCTATGGCTCCTGCTTATTTTACCCCCGGAGAGATTTCAATCCCTTGAGGGCAAAGACAAGGCTCTGTCTATTTCTTTGCCCCACAGTGAACAGTGAAAGGCAGCTAAGATGTATTTGCTGAGTTACTCAAGTTGCCTTTATGGTGATTCAGGGTGGGGGGTTGGACAGCGTCACAAAAGAGATGATCCAGTTCTAGCTCTGGGTGATCTGGTGGCCTCCGAAGTCAAATGGACTGATTCGGGTCCTCAGCTGCCCTCCGCCGAGTTACCTTACCTGCAGAAGTGAACCTCCTGCTCGAACTGTGAGTTTTCTGGCTGCGTCCCCTCTTTCAGCTGGCTGACATTGAAGAAGGACAGGGTGTGGTTGATGAAGCCGTGCAGCGTCCCGTTGTGACTGTAGGAGTACTGGTACACGAGGCGGGGGATGAAGTCCGAGGTGACGGCAATGACGAAGGCCTGAGGGAAGAACGACAAACGCTTCCGGAGTGGTCAGGAGAGACGCCGTGCCGGTCCTGGGGGTTTCATCTGGCTCGGTGATCAGCCATGCAGAGGTGTTACCCTGATACCTCAGGACACGCGTGCTGCACCCTGGTGTCTGAGGCCCTGTAGGCACTTACTCCCTTCCCATCTCCGCTCTGTTGAAGGAAACCCACCCGACAGGAGCTGTCACAGCCCCTGCAGCAAAGAACACCAAGCCAGCTAGGCCTTTTTGGTGTTGGAAGGATTCGGTTATTTCTGAGATAACAGTTGCTACTGGTGTTCAGCAACTTGCCTATACTGGTCAGGGCACCCTTTAGGTGAAATGGGCAAGAAAATTAAGTGGGCGTGGACATTCCTTCCGGAGTGACACCAGAAATCCAGGAATGCCAGGGACAGGGGTCCACGGTTCCTTCATTTTGATCATTCACCCTCAAGACGCTCAGCACACCATCTTGTGGAACTACCTACCTTCCCTTTCATCCATTTTACTTAAGACAAGGGAGACACGGGGAGGGGAAGCGAGGATCCTGCTGGTTGGAAACACATAAACCAGCATAGCATCTGGCATATATAAGCGCCCTATAAATGTCTATGGAGCAAACCAGGCCACAAATGAGTGATTGCATGTTTGAATGCGGAGGTACTTTCTACAAAGAAAATCTTAAATCTTTTTGGCAGGTGTTTATATTCTTTTCTGCACCAACTATTAAAACCCTTTAAAATACATAGGTAAGAAAATATGTTCTAAATGTATATGTGAGTACAGACAGCCATAGCCATATTTGAGAATGAATAGCATATTTATGGTCATCAGAGCTACAGTCGACTCAACCCTTACTATAGGCCTGTTCATCATCCCATTTCATTTCCCAAACAGTTCTTCTCAGTGGGTACTATTCATATCTCCCACTTTACCAAGGAGTAAACAAGCCTTACAGAGGCCGGGGAAGTAACGCTTGGATGTCTCCCTGTTCTGCAGAGGGAAGGGGATGACAGCTTGGGGCCTTTTGTATTAAGTAGACCTAACTTCAATGCAGTGACCGATCTATTTCCCAAATTGTACCTGATGTCTAAGTACCTGATGACTGCACGCTTCTCCCAGTCAGCATCTTTGGGACTGAATGCAAACCTCTCTGCTCACCTTCTGCGTCTGTTTGGGTTGTTCTGGATTGGGCACCAGATCAGAACGAGAATCGAGGTTGCTCTCTCAAAAGAAAGTGGGCTTCAGCATTCTTGGTGTGCACTGAGCTGGCTGCTATTTTCTTGGGAGGTAGACTAGGGGATCGCTGCCTGGCCACCACAGGTACAGAAGGCAGAAGAAAAGAAGCTCTTGACTTGGAGGCAGCAGGATTTCCCCTGGAAACAGGGATAAGTCTGGGACGGTAGTGAAGGAAGTCACACCAGGTAGGACTTCTCATCTTTCATAGCCTAACTTAACTCACACAGTACCTGCTTCCACAGGGCTAATTAAGGCAATGCAGAGGAACTGTAATTAGGAACTGCACGCTGGGCAAAGCTCCAGGTATTGTTCGGTTCAGAAGCAGAAATAGAAAGAGATGGGGAAACCGAAAACGACAAACAGACAAACCCGTGGCTGCCGAGTTGATTTTTGCCTCATAGGACAGCGTAGAACAACCCCCCCCACCAGACTGCCAACATGGTAAAGCTCTAGGGAAGCAAACAGCCACGCCTCTTGCTCATGGTGGGTTCGAACGGCAGACCTTTCAATTAGTAGCTGAGAACTTCACCACCAAGGCTTCTGGGAGATAGACAGATATGTGGCACTCTTTCCTCATTATTCTTGGCTCCAAAGAAAGATCTGATATTTGATGCTGTGGGCCAAGGTATGCATGCTAATAAATAATTGCCTTTCTTCTCTGCGGGAAAATTGAAACGTAATTGCCCGGCTCTGGTGACAGCACCGTGAGTTAGAAGGCAGGCCTGCACTGCTAACCAGGGAGCTGCCTTTAAAGAAGCCCAACACAGAGATGGCTGGGAGGTACCCTGCTGGGGACCCCTCATCTCTGGAAGCCCACCTCCGAGCTGGGGAGTCCTGAGTGCAGGCACTTACGTTGATGATAACGGAGAACTTGCCGATTCCGGAAAGAATGTCAAACCAAATTCCTGCAAGACAGAAAGGAAGGCCCTCTGGCTCACTCCCACCCTGGGCCCGGCGATGACAACGCTGCAGCTTAGGGTGACGTTTTGCAGGTAAGTTACCAGGAGGGGTTTGCAGGGCCCCCCAGGAGCGGGCTTGTCTGGAATGGCCTCGGTGCCCCCCCTGTCTGGAAGCTGGGGGAACAGGCAGGTGGACAGAGTGGCCTTGGAAAAGCTCCAGAGCTGGAGCGGAGGATGGCGGAATGCAATGGGGTGAAGAGGAAGCGGCTCTCCCAGACCTCTGGATTCCCCCACAGCGTGGGGACAGTTGTGGGACAGAAGGTGGGGAAAGGGGAAGGAAAGAGACAGGAGACCTACCGATATCTTTGGTTCTCACAGCATCCGGCCGTCTTAGCTCGGTGACAAATTTCTTTGCATCCAGCCGCACTTCGATGACGTTGTTGAGGAGGGCAAACACAGGAGCCAGAGGAAAGGAGGCCACGAAGAGGGTGACAAAGCCAAACTGGATGACTAGGAGAGAGAACAGGATGGGAGGCTTCACCAGGGGGCTTAGACCTTCTGGCCTGCTGGCTTCGTTCTTTCTGGAGTCTCCTCCCATGTCGGCTTCTTGGGCTCCATTCCCTCCAGGCCAGCAGCTGGGGGTATTTCCGTCTCGATACCTGCAGTCCCATGCAGTCAATGCCGTGAAAGACGATCACTTGGGGGTGACAGCAGACATAGAATAAGTGCTCAGGAAATGGCAGCTATGATTTCCATAAGCACGCTATTCACCCTCCAATGCTAGGGGCTTCAAAACGTTTAGGGGAAAATGTTCTTGTCTTTTAATTCCATTGCCCATGCAAACTCTTTGAAGCCCTCTTGGAGGGTGACAGCCATTCCTACTCACGTATATACTTAGGAAATATTTTCTTGCCTAAATACTGGGGCAAAATAGAGCATAAACAGGAAAAAAGATATGAAAAAAGAAACAGTCTGGCGTGTTTTCTTTCCTTCACCCTGTCACAAGTCATTCATCATGTACATCTTACTTGGGTTTGGCAAACTTTTTTAGTACAGGGCCAAGTAGCAGATAGTTTTGGATTTGTGGGTCATATAGTTTTGTTGCTACTATTCAACTCTGCCATTGTAGAATGCAACACGTAACATTCATAACCCGCAAACAAATGGACTTGGCTGTGCTCCAAAGAAACTTTTTTTTTTAACAAAACCAGAAAATAGGCTGGATTTGGCCCCTGGGCTCAATTTTGCCAATGACTGATCTACCTAAAAAATGACTTTGCATCTCCCCAAATAGGTTTCTTCTCCCATACCCATGGTCATTGTCTTTTTTGTGGAAATTGTATTCATTCATCACGCATTGATGGAGAGCTCGTTAAATGTCAGGCAATATGAAAAAGTATTTAAGGAGGCAAGCGTTGAGGCCTGAGTCAAGGAGCTAAGCTTTGAAGGGAAAGGAGCACATACTCAAGATAAGCACGAGGTCTATGTGTGGAGAGAGAGAGAGAGAGAGAGAGAGAGAGAGAGAGAGAGAGAGAGAAAATGACAGAAGACAGAGGACGCCCAGGGAGGAACGGCTCAAGTCTATCGAGGGCGGGGACACAGGAGGCAAGTCTCCATGGGGAACGTCCAATTCACTCTTGGAGGACTGATCTGGGAAACTGAGTTAGGGAGAGCCTCCCAAGCCAAGGAAAGCGTGTGTGCTAAAGAACAGAAGCAGTCAGATAAGGCATCAACTTCCATTTGGATTAAGTGCAGCAGGCTGCTATGAACCAGTTTCCTTCTCACCCATCTCCCCATGCCCTAGGGGTGGGGGAAGAAAGCCCCCACACTCATGGATCCACTGTTGCAGGTTGAACTGTGCGCATGTGGTTGTGCAGTGCTGTCGCGTGGCTTCCAACTCACAGCAGCCCCAGGCACAACAAAAGGAAACACCTGGTCCTTGCCACCCTCACTATTGCTCTTAAGGTTTGAGCCTCTTGTTGGGGCCCATTTGTGACTCCATCGTGTTGAGGGTCTCCCTCTACTTTACCAAACATGATGTCCTTTTCCAGGGACTGGCCTCTCCTGAGAAGATGTTTCAAAGGTGAGGGAGGAAGTCTTGCCATCCTTGCTTCTAAGGAGCATTCTGGCTGTACTTCTTCCAAGACAGAGCTGCTTGTCCTTTGGGCAGTCTGTGGTACTTTCAGTGTTCTTCACCAGCACCACAATTCAAATGCCTTGATTTTTCTTCAGGCTACCTTATTCATTGTCCAACTTTCACGTGCATACGAAGCGACAGAAAACACCATGGCTTGGATCAGGTATCCCTTAGTCCTCAAAGTAACAACCTTGCTTTTCAATACTTTAAAAAAGTCTTGTGTAGCAGATTTACTGGATGAAATGGGCCCTTTGATCGTTTGACTGTTGCTTCCATGAGCATTGATTGCGCAGTCAAGCAAGAGGAAATCATTGTCAGCCTCAATCTTTCCCCCATTTATTATGATCTTACCTACTGGTTCAGTTCTGAGGAATTGTGTTTTCTTAACATTGCATTGGAATCCATACTGAAGGTTGAAATCCTTGATCTTCACCAGCAAGTGTTTCAAGTCCTCCTCCCTTTCCGTCAGCAAGGTGGTGTCCTCTGTGTATCACAGGAGGGCAATAAGCCTCCTTGGATCCTGATGCTTCCTTATTCTTCACACAGTACAGCTCTTCAGATTAGTTTTTTCAGCATACAGATGGGATAAGTATGGTGAGAGGATACAATCCTGAGGCACACCTTTCTGGATTTTAAACCATTCAGAATTCCCTTATTCTGTTCACCCAAGTGCCTCTGGATCCATCATCCAGGATGAAGTATAGGTATCTGCTTTTGCAGCCTACCTCCTCTCCCACTCCACCCCCCAACCCCCACCATTCTAGCCCCTCCTGTAGCAGCGGATACTGTCCACTTTGGAAAGCACAGCTCAAGACCCATCCAATACCATTCACCCCTTGGTGCAGGTCATTGCTCGCTCTCTGAACTCCACCACTCTGTGTTCCTGCCTCTGTTGTAGTCATCACCCCTGCTGCTGTGACTGATCTGCTCACCATCAAGCTTCATCAGAAAGACAGAGGCTCCATTCATTCTGCAAGCTCCATACATATTTGCTGATGAACACCCCCCCCAAAAGACTTCCTTGCATACTAACAATGAGCCCTGATGGCATAATGGTTATGCATTGGGCTGCTAACTCTGAGGTCAGCAGTTTGAAACCACCAGCTAGCTCCTAAGGAGAAAGAGGAGGCTTTTGACTCCCATAAAGGGTTACAGTCTGGGAAACCAACAGGGGAAGTTCTATCCTGTCCTATAGGGTGACTATATGTCAGAATTGACTAGATGACAGTGTGTGTGTGTGTGTGTGTGTGTGTGTGTGTGTAAACTAAGGAGCCCTAGTGGCCCTGTCTGGTAAGTGCTGGCCTGCTAAACACAAGATTGAAAGCTTAACCCTCCTTAAGAGAAGATGAAGTTATTTGGTCCCTTTAAGAATTACAGTCTTGGAAACAAATGTGCAAATGTTCTTGACACAATGAAGGGATGGACGGATTGTGATAAGAGTTGTACGATTTTTTATAAAGGAAGGTATTCATTGAAATAGGCATGTAGGCATGGATGTCAGTATGGATTGTGATAAGAGTTGTATGAACCCCCAATAAAATGATTTAAAAAACAAGAATTACACCCTCAGAAACTCTATATGGGATTGTTATGGATTGGAATAGAGTTGATGGCAGTTGTTTTTTGTTGTTGTTTTTTTGAGGGGGTTGGTACTTCAATGACTTCAATTGGAAGTTGAAGAAATAATTAAATTCATTGACATTGAATCGGTGTTGGCTCATAAAGACCCCAGAGGACAGAGGGGGGCAGGGTTTCCAAAGACATGATAGACAAGACTAAGGCAGGATTCCCAAGTGCCCGAGCCCAAAACTCACTGCCATAGAGTCGATGCTGACTTATAGTGACCTCACAGGACAGGGCAGAACTGCCCCTGTGAATTTCCAAGACTGTGACCCTTTATGGGAACAGAAACTCCTGTCTTTCTCCTGCTCAGCAGCTGCCTTGAAGGCTTTCCAAAGACAGAAGTATGTAGCAAGGCAGCCTGTCACAGTTTTCCCCCTTGGAGCAGCTAGGGGGTTCAGACTGCCAACCTTTTGATTAGCAGTTGTATGGGAATTGGTGTCAGACACCTAATAATAGATACTACCTATGCTGTGTAATTTTATTCCTATTGGGATGAATATTAATATGTATTTGTATCCGTGATATATACTGCAAACATACATGCGTGTTGCCAATTGCCATTGACTTATGGTGACCCCATGCACAAAGAACAACACGCTGCGTGCTCCTGCACTATCCCCACAATGGGCTGTAGATTAAACTCTTGTGATCCATCGAGTTTTCCTGGCTGATTTTTGAAAGTCCATTGCCTGGCCTGTTTTTCTAGTCAGTCTCAGTCTGGAAGCTCTGCTGATACCCATCCAACACCTTAGCAACAGGCAAGCCTCCCCTGATAGACAGGTGATAGCTGTGCCTGAGATGCAATGGCTAGTAATAGAACCCAGGCAACTCCCAGGGATGGCAGAATTCTATACCTGAACCACCAGCACTCCACACACTCAACGGACACATTTAACTGAAGGAAGAGAACTGATTTTAAGCACCGATTGAGTCAAGAGACCAGACTTCTAGTCCTATACGTGTTTCTAACTAGCTGTGTGCCCCTTAGCAATTCTCTTTGTGTCAGTGAGCATCAGCAGCCTGGTTCAAATTCCAAGGAGCCCTGGTGACACAGTGGTTAAAGCAATCCACTGTTAACTGAATCTGCCAGAGGCCCCATGCGGGCATGCTGGGACCTGTTGGCTTCCACAAAGAAACCAGCTCACAGTTTGCAAGGCTTAACCCATGCGATGGTTATGGGCTGGAATCTCGAGCATTTCCTTCAAGTCAGATTTGCTATGATGATAAGATTCTCACTCTCTTGGCCAAACTTCAAGATTCTAGGATATTCAAACAAAGACTGAAAAAAAAAAGTATAAATACATAAGTTTTCAAGGAGAGGTAAGCCTAACAGTGGACGTTTCAAGAGAGCGAACAAGGATAGGACTTTAGCCAACACAACTGCTTTCAATTTGGTGGGTTGTTTGGGTCAACCGTTTGGGGTCATTGCTTTTGCTGATACAACCCTGTCCACTGCCATCATCTATGATGCCCAATAGACCCTCAGCAGGCCTTAGGAGACTGGCAGGTGCCAGCTAATGGGAAAGCACTTGCATCTGAAGACCTGCAGCTGAAGCTCTATCAAGGTTGAACCCCTGGAATGGCCGGCTGACTAGCTGGCTGAGAGGGATGGGTGGAGAAGGAATCTTCAAAACAAGCTCTGGGAGCCAGTTCAAAAGGCAGAATCTACCACATCTTTTAAATGAGGCTTTGCTGAGGAATTCTCTCTGGAGTCTGGAGTGGGGGATGGAGTGGGGATGGGGAGAGAGGT